GCCCATCGCGCTGCCTCGACCTGCAGATCCTGTCGATTGAACTGCCGCCGTTTGGGGTTTGTCCGGATAGGTCGGTTGTGGGCCAGCCGGCCACCGAGGTCGACGGTGGCTACTACGATGTTGTGGTCTGAGTCCGCTCTGACTGTGGGCGCACTGGCTGAGGTACGACCTCCATGTTGGACACTCGGCCGCGGTGTGATTGGCGCGTCAGGATGTAATCGAGGCACCTACGTTCGCGTACCGACGGGCCGTTGAATGTATGCCATATCCCGCTCCTCCGTGTTTCGAAGAAGGTGTTGAGGACCGCTAGTCTGTTGTCTGTAGCGAAGGTCAGCAGCAGCCGACCGTTGTCGTTCAGCTCATTGCGCCCGTACTCGCCCATGGTTCCTTCGTTTTCCCCGGCTATCCCTCCTCCGGTCTGGGCATTGGCATCCATGAGCACGAAAAGACACTCCTTAGCGGGGACACGCCGCACGAGACTGTCAAGTTTTTCCCAGAACATGCGTTTACTGTCGGCGGTGGCGACGTCTGTTGGGGCATGCGCAGCAACGAAGTTCACCGCTCCGCGGTGGCCCGTCATCTCAAACCTCATAGCCATGAGGCGCTCGTCAACGTACTCCATGGTGTACTGGGAGGCCTTGCACAGCGCCTCCTCCACAGTGATTCCGACGCCATGCGTACCACCCTTGTCCGTGCCACAGGTGAACACCCGAAAACCGGATGCTGTGAACTCCGTTCGCCCTGGTTTCCTGACCTCCTGCAGACCGACAAACGATGGTCGCCCATACAATACAATGTACCGTGGTGTGCCGCAATCACCCATATTGTGGTGTGCCCGACCATGAGCATGGCCAAACGGACGCCTTGGTATGGTATGTCCGCCTGCGCCATGGTTCGCTGGTCGCTGGTCGGCTGTAGAATAAAACGTTTAGTCTACTCGTCGGATTCATCCGATCCGTGGTCCCGTCCACCCCTGCTGTTGCTGAGGGCAGGGTTGTTTGAGACCGCCACCACACTGGCATGTCGTCACAGCACACTCGCTTGCCGAGTCATCACACACCAGAGACGTAGGTTTGGCTTGCGGTGACGTGGATGCCATGTTGGTGCACGGTGGAATGAAAGAACGCCCCGGATCACGGATCATGTTTTCGCTCAGTTGTTCTCCAATAAACTTATCGTGAAGAGATTGGAAATGAGTGTTAATCGCCAGTGGACACTCATTTCCCTTCCTGTTCACGAGGAGTGGATTCACCGACACTTGTGGGAGGTGATGCCACTGTTTGATCACATACTATCTAAGGAGAAGAACTGACGTGAAAATACTGATGGATAGTCTATAGGATATGGCGATGTCGCGGTTCCGGTTTTTCCGGTTTGGTGGTGGTGTGTAGTGTTGTTGTTGTTATTTTTGTTCCTCATATATGCTCTATAGTCCACAAAAAATGGGGAGCCCGTGGTCTCAAAACCCGGCACATACGACGCCGCGGGGAAACAAAACAAAAATAGGGTACAAACCACTCGGAAAAAGAAACAAAATGATAAAAACAAAATTAAGCGGTACCACCGACCGTTCGAGAAAAGGGCCCTAGGAAACCGATCAAAATAAAACAAAAACAAAAATAAAGGAGGACGCTTCCCACACCCGCCTAAAGAAAAAATCAAAGGGTAACGTACCAGCACCAGGCACTACGCACCAGGGCATGGGAGAAACGGAGCAAACAGGACAACGAGGCGGCAGATGGGCAGACAGCCAGATGTACAAAAACAAAAGCAACAGCAAAAGCGAGATCAAGGTACCCAACACAGCAGAGTAGGCAGGGAGGACATAAAAAAAAGAAACACAACACAGAGGCCGAAGGCAATACAAAGGACATACATTATGGAGTATAGCATACAGCAGGGAAGGAAACAGGGCGCAACAACATCAGCCGGGTACATAGTTCGCCACAAGTGCTGCCTCGGCCGCCCTACTCGCTTCTACAGCAGTGTCCGGCCGCCGTTTCTTCCCCCCACCGCCGCTTCCCCGACTCTCTTTCTCTTCGGTCCTGAGATGGCCGCACTCTCTGTTCTGCTTCCTTCGCGCGCTAGCGCTTCGCGGACGCCTCCGCCTCCTGCCTGTGCCATTTCCTCATGAGCCATGCCGCCCCGTCCTCGACCTTGTTGTACCACACCTCCGGGTCCTTGGCGCTCTCTTTCCATTTCCCCCCTTCCTCTTCGTCTCCCATGTTGAAGGACACGAGGTCCTCTCCTAGACGAGACACCCAGTCGCTCTCCTGCCCGCCCCGGTATCCCACGCCCCC